GATAGATAGATAGATAGATAGATAGATAGATAGATAGATAGATAGATTTCTCTGCTTCCTCATTAGTTGCCATGGTAACAAAAGGTAACTGAACTGGCATAAAGTTGCTCATTCACCCATACATACACACTCAGATATATAGGCTACAGCTTGATTGAGTCATGGTTTCGACACAGTTGAGTTTTACACCAAATGGTTTCAGCGGTTCGGCAAACTTAACTCACACAATCAGATGGTGCTATTGATTTGGTCTGTATCAAGATAGAAAACCATGAGTTCACACATGTGGAAACTTGTTCAAATACGGTGTGTATTTGATAGCTATGGCCCACTCAGAGTGATGCAGAGACAAAGACAGAAACAGAAATACCAAAGTAGGTTAGAGCAGAGCATTCTGGGATAGCAGGATACCCCCTGGGCTTGTGCAAGAGGCTCTCTTTCTTTCTCCTTCTTGCTGCTGCCTACTCTAATACTTTCTTTTTCTTTTCTGTGACTGTTTTCCAACAATTTTTCCTTCTTGATGTACGCATTCATCTTGCATTCTTCCAGCTCAGTGATTTAAAATCTCTCTTTATTATTTTTTATTTATATTTTCATGCCATTGTCCATCGTTATCTAGTTTGGCATGTTTTTTTTCTTCTTGTAAATACTTTAGCCTTGTGAATAAATGTTGAATCCCATTAACTTAAGTGCACTGTAACTGTAATGCTAACAACGGCCTTGTGTGCCACTTCTTGCGACTTTGTGTGTCGCGTGATTTTTTATAACTACTCAGTCATGATGCTATGACCATGTACTTTCAGAAGAATGTTTTAAGCTCTCAGAGTTCCTCCAGGAAAGAAACCCATATATTTCTCTCCTCAACTATAGACTCCATCTCCTCCTGAGGTGTCTTTCAGCAAGTCATTGGTCTGCCGCAGGGTGTCTTCCCAGTTGGATGTGCCTTAAGAGTTTTGATAGGGATGTGGTGAAGAGAGAGCAGAACCAAAAGACGAAGCTTTTGGATTGACAGCCAGGATTTGCTCCAGCCTTCAACTATGGTTATGAGATCTGAGTTGCAACCAAAAGAGTAGAGTTTCTGGCCCTCTGTTTTTGAAGTAGTGTCTGGTGAGGTATCTTGGGCATTTGGTTAGTCTTCCTCTTGATTGCCTTTCGTTTGGAAACTCTGCTGATATACCAAAATGGGAGGACGCCCTAAGGCATTAAATACAATGTCTACAAAACATGATGGATGTTAAACCACTGGACAAAAATAAAAAAATGTTATTTTAGTGAATATGCAGTAACAGGATAAATGATAAGAAATTATTACATTAGAAGGCCCCAAACTCTGTGTCCTAACATCAGTATTCATGTTGCCATTTAGTACTTATAGTTGCAGTTACTTTGGCCACAAAGTCTTGGTCTACTTTCACGCAACAGACTAAAACTTTAACATTAATCTATAATTTGTCCACAGTCTGTTCCTCTCACACAATCCTCACTCTGCCTTCATTTTAAGATAAGGATGTGAGTTACAAAGGCAGGATCAAAATAAGCATTGATAGTTTGGCTTAGAGTTTACAAAATATATAGTTTTATACAGTTTAAGATGGATGAAGATATTTGTTTAGACAACCATAATTTTGCCACTAGCTAGAAACATTTTCCAAAATATTTTCAGGGGATATTGGGATAGAATAAGAGACCCCATCAACGATGATATTTTCAGATTTGGTCCACAATAATGGACACGGGTTATGGGATTTTTGTTCAACAATAACTTTTAAAATTCTACATATCACTGTTGTTATACTTTGATAACCCTGTCCTGAGAGTTTAATTAATTATTTGGTGTTCTTCCTCTCCACCCTGATTTGTTCTGTTTAAATAATTTGCTTGGCATCTTTGGCTTTGTTGACATTTTGCAGAGAAGAGGAGAAAAAAACCAAAGTGACTGGCGGGGAGATGGGTGACATAGATGAAACAGGGATGAAAAGCTTTTTGGCTGGCAGCTCTCTTAGGAAATTCTGACAACTTGCTGGCTTGATCCTTGATGTCTGACTGTGCCCACTATAATGCTTTCAATTACAATGAAGCTCCTCGGAGAGACTTAAAAAAAAACTGTTAACAGGTTTTCATTGTTGTAACCAATTAATGGCTATATTTTTCTCCCTGTTTGTAAAGTAGCTTATTCATACAACTCAGCCATTGTACATTTGCAGCTAATCAGAAAAGCTATTTTCTGATTGAAATTTGTCTGACAGTGAAGATATCCGAATTGTTAGCCTCCCTCATAAAAGGCTAAACAATTTCCTTCTTTTTTTTTTAACAATAATTGTATTATTGGCTGCATTCGCTTCTGCTTATTATTGTGCCAGAAAGAAAGCTGTTTGGAATTCCACAAATAATTTTCCACAGTCTGCTTTCAAGGATTACTCTCTTGCTATGTCTGGCTCCGGTGAAGTCAAGGTTTACAAAGCAATGGTGATGCCATCACTTATATAGAGTGTGGAAGTAGCTAGTTCTAGGGGGGGCGGTTGCTCAGAATGAAAGGTGCCTATTGATCGGAGGGTCGGTGGTTTGACTCCATGTTCCTCCAGGCCACGTGTCGTAGAGTCCTTGGGCAAGGCTCTGAACCCCAAGTTGCCAACTGGTGTGTGAATGTTTGTGTGAATGATATGTCGTGTAAGGCGCTTTGAGTGGCCAGCTCAACTGGAAAAGTGCTACATAAGTACAAGTCTATTTCATAGTCTGTGAGGTTTGTATTACGAGATTGTAATTCATATTCAAGGCATATTCCGTTATTCTCCTGTTTTGGTTTTCTGTTGCTTTCTTGTACCATCGGTCATGTTAACACCCTTTGTCTTGTTCCATTTTTGCATTGTTCTGAAATTCTGTATGTAATTTTGCTTCCAGTGTTTCCAACTTCTCCTTTCATGGTTGCTTAAGGACTTTTCTCCTCCCATGATGAGTGCATTTTGCATTAGTCGTAGACTCCTGTACATTTAGCTATGAATCTTTCATTTTCTTCTTTACTTGCCAGTTCCTTGTTGTTTTCCCACATTGCTCGGTCTTTCTTCTATCTCTGCTTGAGTCCTATTTGTTTGGAGTCCCGCTATAATTAACGGATAAAAGCAATTACTATCCTCAACTGCTTGCTTCTAACCTGTCAACCTGTATTTGGGGTCTTTGCATTGCAGCTGCTTGACAATAACACCAAAAATCACTTTGCCTCTTACTGGTTGATTTTATGCAGCAACAGTAATTTGTTAGGATGGAAATGATCAAGATTACCTTCCATTTCTTTGTTATACCTAATGTCATGTTGAGAAATGTAATTTAGTTGCTTTCCTTCAGAGCACCACATCACGACCATTAATGTTTGTTTTTCTTCTGATTGCATTTAGCCCAATAAAGAGCTAGTCAAGGTTGGAAAAAAATCAAAGTTTAAGCTAAACGGCAGTCATTCTACCCCATCACCAAAGAGTTGTTTATGAGGAATGCTCCTTTAAGATTATTCTAATTTGTCCATTGCTCTGTTTTATATGCCCATTTAATCTAATGAGGGGCTGAGGGGGGCTCTGGAGCCCATCCCAGCAGACACAGGGCCAGAGGTAGTGTACACTGAGGACGAGGTGGTTACAAAAAAAAAGTAAAACGTGGTGGTTTTTGTAAAGAAAAAGAAAACCCCAAAGAGCTGACAAAAGAAGAAGCAAGAAAACTAAACAAAGGAGACTAATAAAAGAGGGAGTTAAAGAATCTGAGAACATGTGATTTTTCCCGCAGAATTTGCATCTCATCTCCTTTTCTCCTCCGAATCCTTTTTTTATACCCTCCAACGTCCGTCATCTTGATGCCAGACTTGAGCTTGCATGCAGACGATGGGACATGTTGTTGGTTATACCTTTGAGGTACCTTACCGTTTCATCTCACAACCACAATGGAGGTTCAGAGGCCTTACCGGAAAGTGTGCGTATTTGTGTGTGTCAGGCTCTTTCGATTGTGTTGTCGTTTGTGTGTCAGCATGTCTTCCTCTGTGTGAGTGTCCCAGAAAAGGCGGACCTCGGGGAGTTGTGCTCCACTTTCACTCCTTTATTAATTCACCCTTCGCTCCCACTCTGTTTGCCAGGACGGAGGGAAAGCGACGAAGAGGGTGGAAGAGGAAGAGGAGAACAAACAAAAGTGATTGAGTTTCAATGAGAGTCAAGATAGATTATAAACACTCATGTTTGTAGGTAATCTGGTGCTAACATTCTGAAGGGACAGGGTAAAACCGATAAACCTCGGTATGATAAATAAACTCTGAATATTACTCTTCAGAGTAATATAGGAGCATGCAATTTCTATTGCTGATCACACCAAAAGTCCTTGAAAATGTTTAGCTCTTTATCCAACAGGAGGCAGTGGCTTTGTTTTTTTTTCACAGATAAGGACACATTGAAGCAACCAGCAGACTGTGGGTGGGCAGGGAGTGAGAATTTAGGGGGAGTATTTTGAGAGAGGGAGACTTTGAGTCTTCTCTTGATGGGAAAAATCAGATAACAGTTACCTTTAGTTATTTTATGGATAATAAGTTGCTCTGCAGAGACTTTTATGATAATGATATATAATGACTACTCCAGATGGGCTTTCTTTATTCATGGTTTGTTGGAGGTTTTTGGGGAATTTTGTGTGAAATTTTGTGTGGCCAAATCGATTAAATCTTTATATGTTTACCTGAAATACATTGAGTGTGATTTCATCATATTTCTATACATTTAAGATCAATAATGACACTAAAAAACGTTGTATTTGTATCATACACACCAGTTTGCTGTACACTGTACTTAACATTGTAGACCTGTAAGATGAAAACCTGTATGTTCAGCTAGACCACTGTAAATAAAGAGATTGCAATGCTCTTTATGGTGTTTTCACAGGTCTGGGTAGAGGGCTTAGACTAAATGAATGATCATTTGCTTTCCTTTTTTGCATTTGTTTTTGTTCATACAGGAAAACCATCAAGTTCGAGAGACAGACGTGGCGTTTAACAAAGACAGCAAGACAGAAATGCTCAGCGTGTGGTACCCATAAGGCCTTGTTGGGGCCCAGAGGGTGGAGTTCAAAGGAGGCCAAAATGAACATGACCAACCACTGGTCGTCACCTGGGGATGTAAGCTCAACTAATCACTGATATTCAGAGTGACCTACAGACCACCGCCTCTTCCGCCACCATCTGAATCCTCACGGGCAAACAGTACAGGTAGGAGTTGTGTGTGTGTCAGTTTACTTATGGTTAAGGCTGGGGAAGACGAATGAGATCGAAGGAAGTATAAAGAGGTTGATCTGTTCATGAGGCAGGGAATGGTTAGTTATATGTAAAAAACAAAAAGAGCAGTGGGAGAACATTTAACTGCTTCACATTGTCATTTCGTGACATGCATGAAATGAGTGGCAATGCTGTCAGCTTCGGAAATTTGCCTAAACTGCAGATTCTGTATTTCAGATGTTGATGTTAGAATATTATTATCTGATGCAAGTTTGAAAACACTAAGCCGCAATCTGAAATAACCATCCTCTAAAATCTGACCAAATGAACCTGAGACATATGAAATAATAAGAACCGTCCTTGCTGTTTTTCATTACTGTAGCATTTTCAGTAGGAAATTGAAGTTACCGAATGAACAAACGCAGCTTCCCAAATTACTGAGTGTCACGGCTGTCTTCCTTGATATCCACTGGACCTAAGCAAAAAACTAAATGTCATCACATTTGAACATGCTGAAACTTTAAATAAGGTAGCATACTTTTTTATGAATAACTTTCGCAATGCTTAAAACTGGGACATTATGTTCAATGTAATAACTGGTATGTTAAAGGTTTCGTGCTAAGAAAAAAACAGAAATATACTGACAACTGCAGTACTGTATGTTTTTTTTATTGTGACTAAAGGGACTCAGTTAAACTAGCTATACTTTCCCAAAAGAAAAACTGCAACAAAAACGAAGGAACAATATTAAATCCCCATTACAAAAGAGCCTTTTTATGTGATAGTGAATGCCTCTCGTCATATAACCTGCAAACTTGCATTTGCATACCTGCACACACATTGCAGATGGCTAATTAAAAAAACGTATTTTTTCTGCTCTCTTCTGGGGTGATCTCCTAGTAGAGGTTAATATAATTTTGGTAACAAGCAACATTTCATTCTACACTGAACCTAACATCCAAATAAGCACAGAACACCTATCACCAAAACACAACCAAATCTGCACACTCAGAGAAAGAAAATCACCCCCCATGTGATGGGAAACTGAGTCCATTTTATTCAGGCCGAACCAAGACACAATAACACAGCATGAAATGTGTGCACGCAAACACAAATCCAAAGCACACACAAGAGTCAGCTAAGAACAGTAACTCAAAATTGGGAGAGTAAATGTATTTCTTTCCAGCATGTGACATGCAGTGAAAGCAAATAGGCACTCAGGTGATAGTGAAAAAGCAACCCGTGCCAAAAAAAGCAGGCAGTTTGTAGATCAGTTTGGTTTTCACCGGCTGAGGTGCAGGAGGGATTTTTAACCAATACAACAGTGACCACAATAAGCTTTGCTCTGTTACGTGGAACATTTTTTCGGAGATAGAGAGTACTGGTTGTGTATCTGATGGTGTCCTGGCTGAATTTCACAGCTTTCATACATGGAAATGCTGCCAAAATGGTTCCAAACTGTTGGGATATAGTGAGTGTTGGTGGGGCAATGGATGGCAGCATATCTTTTGGGCTTCTGCATGTGGGACTGTGTTTACTGGTGTTGTTCTGTAATATAAAGGCTGGATTAATGCTTTGGTTTCTCTGCTGTATTCACAAGAGATTCCTCAGCAGTTTTCACTGTTAGCTGCAGGGCAAGGTCATTGCTATCAAGGGGAGCTGCTCCTATTGTGAGGTTTCTCAACAAAATACAAGAAAAAACTAGATGCGCCTTATTATCATCGTGTAATGGCTAACATGTGCCTTATTCCATTCAAGTCACTCAGTTACCATCATACATTATTGTTATATCAGCACATTGAAATATGCCATGTATCATAAAAGGTCGTGACTGACTGTTGGAAAATCCATTTCTATTTGAATTTCGACTTAATTTTGGTGACCTTACAGCTCACCTATTTTGTGATGGCAATGATAAAAATGTTTTTATCCAATACACAATAGAGCTGCGCTCTAGCTTTGACTAATGAGCAATTATTTTCTCACTTCATGTCCTTCAGGGCAAATTGCTCCTGTAGCTAAACAACCTGAATTTAAACATTTTCTGTACAGGTATGGTCCACCTTAATGGATTATTGACTCGCAAGGAAAGAATAAGAAACTCCGGCAGTTAAAGTTGGACCTTTGGGTCACTCAAACACCCTTTTTTCAGTGGGCGTCTCGGTGAGCAAACATGAAGCAAGATTGTAATCCATTTTGTTGCATTTTCCTCCCTCTGTTCTTTATTTCTCTTCCTTTTTCTGTATCGCAGTTTCTTTCTTTGTCTGCTGTTGCCATGGAAACACTTCCCACTCTTCCCTATCTGCTGAGTCAGGAAAATGAGACCATGGTGTGACCACAGCGGTCCTGTCAGAATCACTAGGTGGCATCTCAGACCAAACTGACAAACTATTTGTAATCTCTTGCAGCAGTTTGGCCAGTCTCAAACTCTGCTGAACTCTTGATTACAAGGGGGGGCTAAGTGCCTTGTGCACGGTTTCAGTGTCGTTTTCAGTTGGTCTTCTTGGAAAACTTTAATGCTTTTGTTCCAAAATCCTTCCTCATGTTCATCTTGATGAATCGATGCATGCACATCCTATTTAAGTTACCTGGAAAAAAGGTAAATTTGTGATTTAAATTTAACAATGTCCTTATAAACAACATTTAGGTTTGATGATGATAGTTTGTGAGGTAATCGAATGCCATCTCATTGTCTCTGGTGTTACCTGTATGGTAAGATACCAGAGAAAATGGGTTTTTCTATAGACTTTAAGCGTATTGCTTTCCAAATAATTATTATAGAAAAGTAAACCAACCACCATAAAATAGTGGTTTAATGTTCTGTTTGCAAAGGCTGCTTTAGGGTTCTGATGAACTATGTACTCTGTTGTATGTTATTTTTTGCCGTAATTCTAATCCAGGGTGCGCAGATTAAATCTTTATAGTCTAAAAAGGGCTTTGAGTGGTTAACTAGAGCACTATTGATGTACAATTTATTTAATTGTCCGTCCTAAACTGATTTTTTTTTGCGGTCACTTTTGCTGCAATGTGCACTTCTATGATTGCATTTTTCTTTTTGTTAAAAGGAACGGAAGAGCAACAAAGAACAGTTGGGGAAGTTCTCAGTAACTGAAGAAGTTAAATTAATCCCAGGCGACTGAACCTTCAGTCTGAGCTGAATTGAACAGAGTTAATGACTTCAATGAACAATTCCTCCATGACTCACTCAGGGGCCACATTACAGGAACATCCAAATGAGATAATCCTTTCTTAATCCCATTTAAGAAAGGAATTTAGAGTTTTCCAAGTCAGCAGTACTGTGCTTGAATGCAGTGTCAACCGAGATATAATGTAACAGCAGATCAGTTTCAGTCGGTTGTCTTATTATCATTTGATCCGATCACATGATTCATGAATATTCTTTATTTGTAAGTAACAAAGTAATGCTGATGCTGTCTAGTTTGAAGATCTTAAGCAGAGTTTGTGTTGAGGAGTAAAAGACAAATTAATTGAATAAAATTAAGTAAATACAAAATAACAGTATACAAAACAATAATGAACATCTAAATAAAAGGTGTTGTGATGTTAGAATAAAATATGCAGATGTTTCATCTACATCAACTAATGTATATTAAATATAACAGAATAAATAAAGGAACATATCTGTAAATTACAGTCAAATGAATGAGTGAAATACCTCCTTTATTTTTAGTTTGGTTTACTTTGGTTTAATTCAATTCAGACATATTATCAGAGTTCAATTCACATTCATTGTAGAATATTTCATACTGATTTACACAAGAATATGAATAATGTTAACAGCTGTATTGATTAAAGCTCACATCAGTTCAGTCAGAGACTGATGACTGGAAAAGTAGGGCAAAACACTTCCAGTGTAGAAATTGTTACATTTTTCACTATGAATTAAAAATGGTTTACAGCTAAGAGGGAGTAGCTGAATTATTTAAAGTTATACTTCTGCACATTAAGAAATGGGCTAACAAAGGATTGTTCTCAAACCTTCATAGAACCACAGCTTTTTGCCCTCCGGTTAAGATGAAATGTGTAACTAACCTCACTTTAAAGCTGCCTCTGTTCTTGTCTCAATGTTTCAATGCTTAGTCAACCTAGCCTGCCTCTGCCTCTGACCTCATATTTAATGGACCATGAAAAGAGAGGTCAGATTATCACATTTAACAACACATTAGGTAACATTTCTATAACCCATAGATTTTACAGATAATATTTTTTTTTCCTTTATACGTCTATCTGTTTGCTCCTTATTTGTTTTCGATGGCTACCCTCAGGTATGATTTCTTCCTTCGGATTGCAAGAGCAGTCACCATAGAAACAGAGCCTATGGTGTAGTGAGAAAAACTGATAAAGAAAAGAAAGAATGTAAATGAAAGGGATTGAAAAGGAGGAAAGGAAATGAGGGGATGAACTTTTATTTCCTTAAGATATGTTGTTTCCTTAAATCTTCTATACATCTATGTTCTCTCAATGGCTTAGAGCTTTCTGTGGTTCTTTCTGTTCATGTTTCTAGTATGATTTCTAATCCTTTATCTCAGTGTCCTGGAGTTAAAGGCCAATTATACCCTCAAGGCTTGACAAAATTGTTTCCATTGTCAATACTGAAGAACAGAGTCTTGAAGTAAACACTGCTTGTTCCTGACTGGAAGGCAATCTCAAATATAAGATGGGTTTAAATGTGCATGTTTCTTTAAACAAACTTTCTCAGTTTTATTACATTTGATGAAAGAGTTATGAAGATATAAAACAATGAATATTGCATGTCCAAAATTAAAATGAGAAAAAATATTCATGTGATTGTGTGGCGCAGGTTAAGTGCTGGAGGAGGGAAAAATGCGTTTGTATCTCTGTTTTAATTTCATTCATATATTCATCAGCAGGCAGAAGTGCTGACGCAAGTGACAAGGAGAGGAGGCATAGAGAGAATGTTAGAGGCAGAATGTGTGAAAAAAAGTGTGAGGAGGAGAAAGAAAGCCAAAAAT